ACTCGTTGGCTGTGGCCTCTATCTCCACAGCCAGCTTGGTGTACTGCGTCCCCTGTTGCATTTTTTTCCTAAAATTTGTGTATTTGTTGAAGCTTTTCCTGATCAAGTGAAAACTTGTATCAATGGAAACTATAAGGAAAACACTCTTAAAATTATTCCAAGAAAAGGATGAGAATAAGCACCTCTAAAATTTTCACTCAACAGGATTTAGGATTAGGTATAAATTAAGCCTTTATTGAATGGGGACAATTTAATTACTCCTAAACAATTGAAAAGGAGTCCTTTTTTAGCAATAAACAATAACTTCTTTGTCAAACCTTTGATGCAGTTCCTGTTTTTAAAAAAATGGTAATAATGATGTTGGAAAGATTCCTTGTTGATATGCCCAGAGGACTTGAGTAATGCCTAGCTGCAATATCCTCTGCCATCTTTTCTCAAATAAATCCTAATCTCCAAGCAGAAAAATCAGATGAGTTAGAGTTGGAAGGGACTTTGGAGGTCTTCTAGCCCAACTGGTGTAACTGTGTGCCAGTTATGTCCTTTCCTAGACCAACAATCCCTACTCATAGTCACTCATGCCCAAGTCCCATGATGGTGAAACTGTGGCCACAGGTGGCATGTGGAGCCATTTCTGCCGGCAGATGAGCCGTTAGTTCCAGCATGCATGAGTGTGCCGGCCAGCTGTTTTTTGGCCTTCCGGAGAGGCCAGGGAGACTGTTTTCACTCTCCCCAGGCTTCAGGAAACCCCCTGGAGCCTGGGAGGGCTTCCGGGGGGCTGGGGGAGGCTGGTTTCACCCTCCCAAGGCTTCAGCCTTCTTCCGCCCTCCCCAGGCTCCGGGGGCTTTCCTGAAACTTGGAGGGGGGGGGGAATATCCTTCCCTGGCCCTCCGGAAGCCAGAAACAGATCATTTTTGAACTTCTAGTTGGCCCATTTTTTACCCTCCCCAGGCTCTGGAGGCTTTCCTGAAGCCTGGGAAGGGAAAAAATGCCCCCCTGCAGGCCTTCCAGAAGCCAGAAATGAATTATTTCCGAACTTCCAGTTGGTCCGTTGGGCCCACTTTTCATCCTCCCCAGGCTCCAGAGGCTTTCCTGAAGCCTGGGGAGGGCGAAAACTCCCCCCTGCTTTGGGGGTGTGTGTCATGCATGCATGCGCGGGGGTCATACATGCACACACAAGTGTGTGGATGCATTGCATTGTGGATGTGGGGCACATGCACAATTTTGTCACACATTTACAAAAAGGTTCACCATCACTGCCCTAGTCACTTCCCGCCTTTACTATTGCAACATGCTCTAAATGGGGCTTCCCTTGAAAAGCATCCATAAGCTTCAGTTGTTGCAAAATGCAGTGGCTAACGTACTTTTGTGCAGATCCCGGTGTGCACATGTATTGCCTCTCCTGCAGGAGCTGCATTGCTGCCAATTTACTTCCGTGTGCAATTCAAGGTGCTGGTTGTCACCTGTAAAGCCCTTCATGGCTTGGGATCAGGTTATCTGAAGGACCCTCTTTTACTGGTCACAGCAACCTGACCCATCAGAGCAGGGAGGCAGGGAATGTTGTGGGTCCCACCCCCTAGGGAGATACACCTGGTTGGATCCAGAATGGCCTTCTCTGGAACATCATTCCCACAGAGATTAGAATGGCCCCCCACTCTAACACTCTTCTGGAAGGCGCTGAAGACCTGATTGTACCAGCGGGCCTGGGGAACCAAGAGCTGGGTGGAGCCCATTAAATGGCTCGTGTGATGTGCTGTCGCTGGGGGTGTGGGTGATTTTATTATATTATATTAATTTATTTGATTGTTTTATTCTACATGAGGTTTTATATTCTGTAAGCTAAGGTAATTATCAGATCCGCACAAGATAATTTCACCATTTTCCAAATCAGATGCATTAATCCATCTATTTGTGCAAGTCTAATAAGTCGTCAGTGTACCTTTATTCTATCTGCTTATGCCTAATTCTACCTTTAGGTTGCTTTATGTTGTCAATATATGAATTGTACCGATTGATGTACTTGCAGTTCATTTATTAAATTAGGAAAACCAGGAAAGAGGGCCAATGCAATTGTTTCAATATAGCATTATCATGGATCATGATATCATTGTTGGTGGAGGGAGCTGCTTTTTCCACTTGTCACGTTATCTAGAGGATAGTGTAGATGAAACAAACTACTTGTGATTCATTTTTAAAGGTGAAGGACATGGAACTTGTTTTCACTATATCTGGCTATTAATGTGCCTAGGTTCCAGTATGTTTTAGCTTCTGTCAATTAAAGTTTGCCATGTTATGAGACCCAGAAATGGGTCTTTTCTTTTAAGGTGCCTGCCCTTTGACACCAAAGTCCATTTTGCCCCAACTTTGCTGGTCTTTTGGAAGGCTTTAGAGACATGGATGTCTTCCCAGGCTTGAGGTCTGGGAACTTAGTTGAAACCCATTCATAGTCCTGAATGTATGATATATTGTTTTCTATAACACTTCTGCCTTTATCGATTTTTTTAAACAGTTATCCTATATAAAAATATTATGTGTTGTGCTATTATATGTTAATTACCCATATAAAGTTGCTATGGTGAGATGGGCAGCCATATTAGATACATACATTAAGGAAATTGTTTCGAGACATTTACCTATAGAAGAGAAATAGTGTAAGTGTACATTATATGCCAATAATTTTTCAACGTAGACCACCTTTCCTTGAATGACTGGGTGGACTGGACATTAACATTTGAACCACTGTAAGTCCATATATTTGCCATATGCTAAATAAATAAATGCCAATAATATACCATGAAAGTGTTTTGCTTATATCTTAATACAGATGCCTTGAGAGAAATAAGGACTGGGTCATTTTCCAACCAGACTGTACTTTTGCTTATGCACTGACGTGACTAAAATTCACTCCTAGTAGAATTTGGTACTCTCTCAACATCAAATGTCAACCTCATTTTGTAATTTGCTTGTGTCATGAGGCAGAAATGCGGGGGGGAAAGGGCTATAAAATATATATTAAATTTTTGAAAAATGGAAATTATTGAGGACTCTGAGTAAAAAGTTCAGAAACAGACTTATAGAAACTGAAATATTTTTCACATGCCTTGTAAAGACTGGAAGATAGTAATAAACAGAAGTCGTATGAAGGAAGGGTTTTTAATTAAGGAATATGGAAAATTCCATGTTAATATTGCTTTGTACTATTGAATTGCAAAAAAAAATATTATTTGGATATTATGCAGACACACATAATATACTAGTTTTACATAAGAATACATTGTAATAACAATTACAATCACTTTAATAAGAGATGAAACTGTAATCAAAATATTCTTATACATATTCACAGTTAGATTAACCTAGAATAAGCATTAATTAAATCACAAAATCCATTAATATTTTAAAATAATGTACCTTTTCCAAATACAATATGCTGCAGTTCACATACAGAAAAATGAGTAATCCAATCCTCATAAAAAAGAAAATTAGCCCACTTTTAGGACAAGTTGACTAATAAAACATTTTAATCACCTCTCAGTTCAGAGTAGAGGCATTTCTAGTTTTCTGGAAGGATTAAATAATATAGTATCCCTCCTCTTTCATTGCATATCAAAGTTTTATGAGCCTTAACTCTTACATTTAAATGTGATGGGATAAATATACAAGGTATTTTGTCATATAGAAACAATAACAAAATTATATAGAAGCAATAAATAATATTTAGTAACTCTTAAGCAATATTAAGTAAGCGTTGTTTAGTCCCTGCTCACAGTTGCTCACAACCCTAGTCACCTCCCATATTGATTATTACAACACACACTGCATGGGGCTGCCCTTGAAAAGTATCCAGAATTGGTTCAAAATGCAGCAACCCCTGTGGTTTTGTGCAGGCCTAGCTGTGCACATGTCTCTTGTGGGAGTTGCATTTGCTTCCGATTTGCTTCTGGGTCCAATTCAAGGTGTTGATTGTCACCTTCAAAGCTCTACCTGGTTTGGGACCAGGTTACTTGAGGGATCATCTTTACATGGTCACATCTACCAAACCCACTAGAGCGGGGAAGTAGGGAAGGTTACAGGTCCCGTCTCCTAAAGAGTTACATCTAGGGGTGGGGGGGCAAGAAGAAGAGCCTTGTTTATGGTGGCTCACTCCCTATGAAACATTTTTCCTGTGGAGATAAGATTGCCCCCTGCTTTGACACTGTTTCGCAAAGCCCCGAAGATCTGGCTTTGGCAAAGGACCTGGGCAATCCAGGGTGGAATGGAGCCCATCAAGTGGCTTATGGATTGACTGAGGGGGGAGGGATTATTGCATTTTATTACTTTTATATTAGTTTTTTTATCTTTGTAAGCTTCCTGAAATCATTGAGAGTGAATTGGGTGGCCGTGTAATTTTTTAAAAATAAATAAATTATTTTACATCATATATTTTTGAAAAGGGAAAGCACCTTTTTATACTAGTACAAGAAGAATATTATCAAAAATTTGTGATGCACTTTGCAGGTAAAACTGCCGTGTTTAACATTGTGATTCTTAAAATATTCATGAATGAATAATTCACGAGTGCTATCACTTATTCATGAAGTACTGCCAATTTAGATATTTATTTTATTTACTATGTATATATACTGTATAGTCCTCTTGTAAAACAAAGAGTTTTCTGTTTTATAGTAACGTCTTATAATCTAAAATACATGATACAAAAATAAAATGAATAGTCTCACACATTTACATCATAAGATTATATAAAGAGAAGGTGTAATAGTTCTTAATGAGAGTTTGAGAAGGAAACATGAATAATTTGATTAATTCACAACTCTAACAGTTATAAGAGAAGAATAACATCTGAATAGAATCCAACAAGACTGAGCTCAGTTAATCTGAACATTGTACAATAGCTCAGCAATGTTGTAAACTTTTGTGTACTTTCTTTCTGAAAAGAAAGCAATGATTAAAAAAATACCATATTTATGTTTCTTAAGTTTTTTTCTCTTTCTCTTTTGAAACAGATATTCTGTGATGCTAAGCAAATCATCCAGGCCACAGACTTATTGGACTGGGAGGATAAAGATGCTGCGGATACTTTGGTTGCTAATGTAGTCCATTCTCGGATCATCAACCCTTTACGCCTTTTTGTGAAGCCTTCTCCAACAATGAAACATGGGCGGCTGCCATATTCACACAACACGGACAACTTTTGGGATTGGCTATCCAATATCACTGAAGTTCAGGAATCTCTTGCACGAACTAAACGCAGACCAATTGTGAAAACTGGAAAGTTTAAAAAAATGTTTGGATGGGGCGACTTCCATTCTAACATCAAAACTGTGAAGTTGAATCTTCTGATAACAGGGAAGATTGTCGATCATGGCAATGGAACGTTTAGTGTTTATTTCCGGCACAATTCAACAGGCCTTGGAAATGTTTCTGTAAGCCTGGTGCCACCTTCCAAGGTGGTGGAATTTGAATCGTCCCCTCAATCAACTCTAGAGACTAAGGAATCCAAGTCTTTCAATTGCCGAATTGAGTATGAGAAAACTGACAGGGCTAAGAAAACCGCATTGTGTAACTTTGACCCTTCAAAAATCTGCTACCAAGAGCAGACCCAAAGCCATGTGTCCTGGTTATGTTCTAAACCATTTAAGGTCATCTGTATTTACATTGCTTTCTACAGTGTTGATTACAAACTAGTGCAGAAGGTCTGCCCTGATTACAACTACCACAGTGAGACACCATATTTATCCTCGGGATGATGTACTCTTTCTTCATCAGTGACTGTTATATCAGAAAAAAACAATCTGTCTGAAGTTCTAGTTTTAAATTTCTTAAGGCATTGTTCCTAATCAGGTTAATTAAGCAGCTTTCTTCTCCCTAAAGGAAAATTATCACTTGTGGGCTGGTTCACCCATGCATGTTCTTCACTTGGTGACTAGAACATCATGTAACAACTTGCATATGTCAATGAGCCATCATGATTGAGCACCACGTAACATTTTTATAAGGCTTCAGATCAGAGTCCCTATTTAGCCATGCAGTTGTGATTTCATGATGAATCACTGAATGAGTGGACCAGCCTGAAGAGTTTGCGGTTATCATAAATATTTCAATATCCAAAAATCAAAAGATCACTTTTTCACAATACAGTACTTGTATTTAATTTCTCATTGTGTCAGATCTTATCAAATATTAATAGTATATAGATAAGTGTGAAAAGCCAAATTCTTTGCAAGGAAGAGACACAAATGATCTCTTACTAAGACTTGCTGCAACAGCAGATTCAGCTGGTAGTATTGGAAAAAAAACATTCTTTGTTAGCATTTTAGAAATGTTAAACTGCCAGTGCCAGCAAATTTATCAAAGGTAATATTCAGGCTCTCTAACATGTAGAGATGTTATCAAAATGGATTCTGAAGGTAGCCAAACTTTTTTTTATGAGATTAGGGAGAAACATTGAGAGAAAGAAATCTCTCAGATGTGCTGCCATGAATTTTGCTTAAAACTTAGGCAAAAATTCTATAGGAATTTAAAATTAGAAGACTTTCTATGAGATTTGCATAATTTGTTCATGAATGAATCATTCACAAGCAGTATTATTTGCTTATTAAATACCTACAACCATTCTAGCTATAATCTGACAAAACTGTCCTTTATGTAACAATTGGGTAAGTCAGTTGCATACCTCTAAAGCCATGTTTATATTGGTAAAGTACATGTTGTAATAGGAGCAGAGAACTGGATAAAAATTTTTCTGTGGATATGTTTCCCACTATATAGCTTTGCAGACAGTGCCATTCTTCATGAAAACAAAAACGGATTTTGTTTTCAAAATCAGTGGGTAGAAAGAACACATAGTTTGATAGGACAGAATTCTACTGAAATGTCCATTTAATGCAAAAATATTGAGAAAATGTGTTCTGTATTGAAACTGCTTTGTCCTTAGTCTAGTCATGCAATTCAGAAATTGGAGTGTCTACCAATTTTGCCATTCTGAAAGCATACTAAAATTAGAATCACAAGTTCTTTAAAGGGGGCTGTTTTCATTCAGTGCAATAAAGTATAATTCTGATTTCATTGAGATAATGTAGCAGGGATGATAATCTCCTTCTCTGCAATGGAATCATGTAGAGATACAAATGGACTTGCCTTTTTAGTATCATCAACCCTTGCCAGAATCATTATATAAAACCTTGAAGAAGAAACGTAACATAAAATTATGATGAGATTTTTACCACCTTGCTTTCATTGACTAAAATTCCAGATGACGTATATTTGTTTAAATTTTCAAAGCAGTGATTTTTTTCAAAATGAATGTTTTACATAAGATTTGCTTATGTAAATATTCACATTTTACATTTGGATAGGAATCAATTGGCTGAAATCAGGTAGCTTCCAGGTGACCTATTCATTAACTTATCTCAGACCTGGTAGGCTTCATCAATGAGATAGTATCATCTCAAACCTCCAATTACTTTTTAAAAAATTGTTAAAAATTTGCCAAGAACTAATTTCTTCAGAGAAAATTTAATTATATCCCTCGCTTTTTCCCCCAGAGGCAGAAATAAATTCTTTTTTCTCCTTTTTTCTCCCATTCACAAATCTGTTCCACATTTTCTGGAGCTTAGTTGAAGAGATAGAAGAGGATACATGGAAATTGTCACTCTCACTAAACTTTCTGAGAACTTCATTCTCCACATCCGCAAGAGAAATGAAATGAAAGAGGCATATAAACTGTGAAACCTTTGTGCATTTTGGGATTGTCACATGTGATGATATATCACCCAAGTATTTATACAGCAGATTCTAGTATTTCTACCTATAGAAAGAGATAGAAGTTATTCATTGCAACAAAAGTAATAACCAAACAATTCTCACATTGCATGAAATCCCACTCAGCTACATTTGGGATTCAAAGGTTTTCTCTTCATAGAAGATAGGAGATTACTCTGTTAGCCACATACAGAGGCAGGCAGGCAAACAGCTCCATTTCATTATGCTATGAATATAATTCATTTTTTGCAAAATGAATGACAAACTTTAACAGCCTGATAATAAGATACTCAATAAATTTACCATCATATTGGAAGGATATGAAAGATTAAAGATTCAAACAGTTTTTGGAATAAATCCATGATTGCAGTGGCATCTGCAATCAAAGTATGAAAAATGAGATTTCTGCCTGTGAAGTGGGGGAGGGAACCCTCTGCCCAAAAGATCAAGGATCAGTAAGGAGAGAAAATAGCTGCTTTCTGATAATGTAAGGCCCAGATTATTAGATTTGCTTTGTTACAATCATCCATTTAAGAAGAGGAGAATTGAAATGTAATTTGGCATGTAGTGAGAAAGTAGCCCATTCCATATTATTTAATAATAATACTATTAGAGCTGTCTCACCTACATGTCTGACACCGAGGGCTTCCTCTCCAGGATCTGGGGAAAATTGACATTTTTCCATGATTTTCAGCAAGGAGGAACTCCAGATTGCATTATAAGCACCTCCCAACCAGTATATCCCAGGCATTTATATATCTAGTTGGTTCCTATCTTGACCCACACTGTTCAGCAGGAACATGTATGCTCAAAATCATTTTGTTAAAAGAAAGAAATGGTCTTCGAAATTAAGTTTGGAAATGTGTATGTTTTCATGTATGTGATCAAAAACCTGATCACTTCCCTATTTTGTCTTGAAGAGATTTGCCAAATTAATTTTTCCCCAGCTTTTTCTTCTCAAATAAGAAAACTACTAAAGTAAAAACTTAACTAAAACTTCTAGTTCACATTTGTATCATGTGGCCTAGATCTGGCTGTATATAAGCTAGGATTTCTTGCTAAAATTTATGAGTTCATTACTGGGTGATTTTGTAATTTAGTTGTAAGCTGTTATTTTTGAACTTGTATTTTTACCCAATTCTGTAGCTACTTTAAATACAAATGAGATTGTTTATTGTAGAGTATGTGGAAATTATACATGTATATATACTTAGAAATGTATGTGTACAAATACAGAATATATGTGTACACATATTTCTATGTAAATAAAGAGAGTTGATTAAATCTGTCATTTGTTTAAAATAGATTTCCTTTTGAAGTACAGTACTTTTTCTCAATGTAGAAGTCTAAATAGATTGGCTTTAGATACAGGAAATTTATAACATCAGAATTTAGACTATAAGTATGTCTAAACTGATGTATGAAATTACTCTGATGCCTTAATAATTATTTATAGAAATAAATGTATGCTAGGAAATGTAATTAAATTTACTACCAACTTAACAGATACAAGCATACTCATTTTGCAACCATAGTTGGGAGTAGCAACTCAGATGTTAAATGAAACATCTCTACAGGTGAAACTTGAAAAATTAGAATATCGTGCAAAAGTTCATTTATTTCAGTAATGCAACTTAAAAGGTGAAACTAAGATATGAGATAACTCATTACATGCAACCCCTCTAAATG